ACACACACACACACACACACACACACACACACACACACACACACACACACACACACACACATACACACACACACACACACGTCTGTGCTCGGTGTTTGGAGCTGCCTTTAGGAATGCAGGTCGTAGTTTGGTGGAGCAAGCAGCGACAGGTTGGACCTCCTGAAGGGGGTTTGTTGAAGGAGCTGTAAAACAAAAGACAAGGATCAGGTTGTGTGTCTGAAGACACAGTCCTCACGTCTCTCAGCAGGTGTCCTGCTCCATCAGAGGATTTATGGTCAGGAGCAGCTTGTTGTTATGGAGGGAGTGCACACGCTGGACAACTGCAGAAAGGTAAATAACAACACAAACAAGCAGAGGAGACTCAGTTTGTCAGATGTTAGATTGAATCTGATGTTTGAGGCTGATTTTACTGAAGATGTCTGCAGCAGGGCTGTTAGCCTGAGGGAACAACATTTAAACATGTTTCTGACTGAAGGTCTGACCTCACGCTGCTCTGACGGCTGCAGCAGGTCTGACTCAGGTCCACACGTTGTGCTGATGTCATCATCAGACTTTATGAATAACTGCTTGATTTGACAGAAAAACCCCAAACTGACACAAGCTGTGAGTTTATTTCTGTTCCTTTGTGCTGACAGTGTGACTGACGTGTTCAGTGTGTTGCTCTGCAGGCAGGATGAGGAACAGGAAGCTGTTAGACCACAGGAAAAAAGGCATGATTTACAANACTTTACATATTATACTTTACTTTTACTTTACATATTATACTTTATTTATATTTTTCATAATATACTTTACTTATACATTTCATATACTTTACATATTATTCTTTACTTATACTTCACTTATTATACTTGAATTGTTATACTTTACTTTTACTTTACATATTATACTTTACTTTTACTTTGCTTTTTATACATTACTTATACTTTTCATATAATACGTGATATACTTTACATATTAAACTTTACTTATTATACTGGACTCATACTTTACATATTGTACTTTACATATTTTATTTTACTTATTATACTTTACTTATACTTCACATATTATACTTTACTGATTATACTTTACATATTGTACTTCACTTTTACTTTACATATTATACTTTACTTTTACTTTACATATAATACTTTACTTATATTATTCATATTATACTTTACTATTACTTATATAAACAAACATCCCCACACACTCCCACCCTATGCTAGAAGACTAAACTGGATTAATTCATAAACTGGATTAATTCATAAACTGGATTAATTCTTAAACTGGATTAATTCTTAAACTGGATTAATCCATAAACTGGTCATTGACTTTACTCCAGATTAATAATCTGTAAATCATCTCACTAAAGAACTGTCTGTAGACAGAGCTGCCAGTGATCAAACCACCAATAATCCTTTTATTAGATAACTTTGAAACAAGTTGTTTTTCTACTGCTTCCTGCTTCAAGGCTCACCACAGAAAACTAACAGAAAAGATCTGACTGATGTTCTTACACTGGTCCTGATGGAACCTGATGGAACCTGATGGAGCCTGATGGAACCTGATGGAGCCTGATGGAACCTGATGGAGCCTGATGGAACCTGATGGAACCTGATGGAGCCTGATGGAACCTGATGGA